GGCGTCCATTGAAAGGTGCTACAATGAGTTTCCGCACCCTGCTGCCACGACCACAGAGCGGAGGAGGAGAAACGCACTCGCACCGAATGAACAAGTGGAGGCCTTGAAAAAAATGCGAAAATACACAATGAATGCGGGACCACGCGAAAGCGTAGAATGCGGCCAATGACCCTGTGTCCATGAGTTCGAGGAAGAACGTCACCGTTTGCAGTCACTCTTATATAGCACGGGAAACTGGTTAGGAGTAACGGAATGAACGGGCCTGCCTCACTTTCCGTTATAATTCAAATTCATAATGTAGCGCAAGAAAATGTACACGGCGGCCACAGAGAATGGCACACCACAAGCGCTACTAAAAACGTTAGTGAGAAAATTGGTGACACGCCTGATATGTCGTCCAACCACTCAGGCGCTAGGGATACATCTGGCTGGCTGCATAGGGCGCAAGGTAAACATTACAAATCAAGAGTACGATTGGAAAAAAAACGAAACGCATGTTCTGAGGCAAACTATAGACGACAGAAGTATGACAAACGCAATAACTATCATATCTGTTAATAAAGAATGCTTCTAAATGTTCACGTGCCTATCCGTTCATACTCCTACCCACGATTTTCACATCATGAAACCTCTGAGAACATGTGCAGGTTTTGCAATGGGCAGAAAGGTACGCTTTCATGTCCTTATGGAAATTATTTGCGTGCTCTCGCATTCCGTCCTTGATGCATCGACCATTTTGTCGTACGTAGCACTTACCGCTTGAGAGGGAATTTCATACACTACCCTGCTGGCGCGAAGCACATAGAGCTTGGTATGTTAACTTGGCAGCCTTTCAAGTGGCTACTAATTATTCGGGGACACAACTTAACAAGCCTATAGGGAGCAGAAAAACAATGGGTACACCGTACCTATTAGCCACGTTGTTGCAATCGTGGCTCATTTTGTACACATAAGGCACATCTTGAGGCACCACTCAGCTCACCGGCTGTAGCACCAATCGCTGAAGCACCCGTTTTATTCTTCTGTAAGAGCGTTTCAGCCACAGACATCAAGACAGAATAAAGGCAGCCGGCTTGAGATACCTTACTCGTGTGTGTTTTAAAACTGGCCTGCATTTTCTAGCTCAGAAGATTTTTTGACTGCCGAATCCAGGGCAAAGCGAAAGAATAGAATTTTTTACTGACTCTCAATGGGTGGAGTGATAAGGTAAAAGTTCTTTTTTCACACGTGGGGAGTAAGTTCAGGACATAATTATCATTTGTAAACGTGATGTATAGGTTAAGCAATTGAAGGATAATTATAATGGAGAGCTCATACGTGAAAAACAGGCCTTTACCATGAACCCCAAAAACATCTGAAGTCTTACGAGCATTTGAAGTAGGCAATGTAAAACCGGGATTTATGACAACTAAAACACTCATCTACGTTTTCAAAGACTTTCAAAACATACAAATTAAGAACACCATGGTCAAGTGTTTTGTCTATATCAGCCAGGAACACGTCGCAAAGTAAAGGTGCCACAAAGGCACCAATACATATCACCATTTTTTTGTAAAACAACTGGTTGTCAATTGAGATAAAGGTGCTTGTCACGTAAGTTTCAAGTAATAAAACTAAAATATCTTCAGCCTTCACGACAACTGTATTTTTTAAAGCCCACCTCACATTGTCCTTCCATGCACTTGCTAAGGGCACTGAACAACGCGTCATGAGGAACAGAAGAAAAAAGATCTACTAAGTTCATAGGAAAGGCTGGACCCACAGTACGAGTTTGTTGGAGGTACCAAAAAACGTCATCTGAATTCACGGAAAGGAAAGGATCATCAGTGTTAAGTTGATTCGAACCTTTCAACAAAAACCTGCTCATATGAAGCGGCCATGTGCCACGCTCATTTACTGCTCACAGTCTACTCCCTATAGGCTCACCCAGCGGCACCCCCGAATAGCCACTTGAAAAGCTACCAGGTTACACACGCCAAGCCATATGTGTATTGCACCACTCGGGTGGTGTATGAAATCCCCCTGTCATGCCGCAACGGCTACGTAGGGCAAAATGGTCGGTCCGTCAATGACCGAATGAAAGAGCACGCGAATGATCTCAACAAAGACATGAATGCGCATCTATCTGCGCATTGCAAAGCCTGCGCATGTTTTTTAAGGTTTCATTATGTCAAGATTCGGGCTAAGAGAAAAGTTAGAAAGATACGTGAACATGTGGAAGCGTTCTTTATAATCAAATATGGTAGTGATTGCGTTAGTGAGACTTCTGTTGTCTTATTTTCTTCAAAACATACGTTTTTTTTTATCGTACTGTTGATTTGTAGTCTTCGCCTGGCACCTCCTGTAGCCAGCCGGATGATCCCTCGCACCTGCCTCGTAGGAAGATATACTATGCGTGTCTTCAAAATTTTCCATTCAAGTTGTTAGTAGCTCTTCAGATGTGTAATTCTTGCTGTTCATCGTGTCGTTTTTTTTTTCGCTATGTTATGAATTTGATCCAGCACCAACTAACTCAAGAACAATTGATGGACTGATATGTGGTGTTTGACGTCCCAAAACCACCATATGATTATGAGAAACACTGTAGTGGAAGGCTCCGGAAATTTAGACCACCTGAGGTTCTTTAACGTGCCTCCCAAATCTAAACATACGGGCCTACAGCATTTCCGCCTCCATTGGGAGTGCAGCCACCGCAGCCTGGTTTAAATCCCGCAACCAGCAGCTGAGTACCTTAGCCACTAGACCACCGCAGTGGGGCCTAAGCCAGGAACAACTGCTTCTGCAGAACATCAGTTAGAGTTACCGCGCTTGACACAGTTGACTTTACAGAATGGCGAAAAAATTGATGTCGAGTGCCATGACTCAGCGTGAGCTCAGCCTTTCTGTTGTCTGCCATTGAAAACTTTATTGGGCGGACGAGGCGGCCGAGGCGGCCGAGGACCATGATAGATCAAATAGAGTGGCCAGTGAACGCAGTTGCCAGTTTCACTTACAATAGGCTTATTCGGGCTTTCGTCGAGTGGCCTGTTCAGTTTGCAGTCTCGTGTCGCATTTTCGTGCTTCTTTGCAATTTTTCGAAGTAATGTTGATTAGTTCGGGATCACCACGTTCATCAATCGCGCGTTTGTCAATCACTTTCAGAGTTTTATGCTTCAAGTCAAATTTACGTTCAAGCAACTTGAGAGACTCAAATAGTGACGATAAGAATTCGTTTGAGAACGCGCATTCAACCTAATGATCACACTACTGAGACAATGATAAAAAACAAGTATGTGCTTTGGTTTTTAATTGCGCTTATTTTCGCCGTAAAATTTATATATTTATTTTTTGAACTCTTTTTAGCATTTAAATATCATTGCAATGGTAATTGAAATATTTTAAAAAATGGAAAAATAACTTCCCGCTTATTTTGGACACTTTCGTGAAAGCGGTGCTGCTTTTTTTGGATGGGGGTGCTTCTTTTGTGATAATTATTTGCTTGTTAGCTTAGCACCATCGGGCAACTCAGCCAAAATACCGCGCCTCTGGCTTTCTTTGTTCGCTCTCAAATTTTCTTGCTTTCTTCAGCATGTCTGGTCTACGTGGAAATCGTTTGAAGAGAAGTGACCGTCAGTTTCGTTACCCATTCAGGAACGTGGGGCAGCGTCACATTGGCTCAAAATTTCCAATTGCGCTTATAGTAAGCGGATTTGGGCTTGTGTTTTCGCGGAGTCGGTGGTAGAATTTTTCAGTCACTTGCGGTATTTTCATGCACATTCACATTTATTCACGAAATATAGATGCTTTAGCTATCATCACGACTACCAATAGCGGATTTGTCGACGATTACGAGTACCTGGTTTTTTAAATCAAACATACCATGTGGACATCCGCAAGTAACGTTGAGTGGTACTAAAAAACGCGCATATATTCTAATAAAACTACCAAGAGGACAACGTTAAAAAGCAAAAATCTGCTTTCTTTCGTAACGGCGCGTTTTTTCATTGTAAAAATATTTTAAAGAATTTTCGCAGCTCCTGAAGCCTTCGTCACTCAAGAATCGCACCAACATTGGCGCGAATGTGCGGATGCAAGAGCAGCCGTAAAAGTTTGTTTGAAGAGGCAAAGAATGTTTCACCTTAATATATTAGGAGTAATGAAGAGTACATAACATCCCTCTCACGGTGTCTTTCCTATCACTTCTTTCAGTGGCCTTCTTGTAGTGTTTTAGCTCATCGTCTAACAAAGGTAAAAAGACAAAACATAACCACAGGCTGCCTTTTTCAGAACATCTGGCAGCCGCTAGCTTTACCGCGCCAGTTTCAATGAAAAAGCTTTCATTTCAGTTTTTATGGGTCTTTGCTTACTGTGTGTCGCGGAAACTGTGATCAAAGGAAAGAAAAAAAAGAGGGCACTAGAGGAACGGCAAAATACTCCACTAAATATGCTTCATGCAACAAAATATTTCGCTGCGCATTTCTTTTGTTCTTCCATTGCTTACTTATTTTGTTCTAGACCAGCGGCCCGCGAGGCCTTGTCATGTGGCCCTCCGGCCCGACATCCAAATCCGCTTTCCCTTTGTCGCTTCCTGTTTTAGAGGTGATAGTCATTTGGACCTCGAATGGGGTTAGACATCACTTGCATTTGGCATGGTGCCCCCACTTCAAGCTTGGCACTACTTTCGCGAAAACTTAGCCACAGCTTAGCCTACTTTGTACATTCTTGTCAGTTTGCCGAATTTTTCCTTTTAGCCTGCAAAGCCACCTCTTGGTTTGCCGTGCGGGTCTTGGCCTTGTCACGTTTAGGCAATTCGGGCCTCCACCTCAAAGCGTTGCCGACCCCATTTCTAGACAATCTTTTGAATCATTGGCGTATAGAGGAAATAACTTTTCACCGTCTTTTCGTCAGCTCCAAGTTGCTCTTAGTTTAACATGAGAAATACAAACAGAACGTGTGACTGCATGCCAAATTCCGACTTTGTATAAAGGTCAACGTCACAAACAAAGAAAATGGCGGCATACCTCTACAGCCTCGTGCTCACAACCGGGAACCCTGGCAGCCCACTCACACCCACTGTGCTTTATGCTGAACGCAAGTCCCTTCTGGCAGGAGAGCTTGGCTGCCACGCCGTTCGTGCAGCTGTAGAACTCCTGGCAAACACGTGGGTAATCCTCGTGCGGGAAGAAACCATTGGCGCGGGGACACTTGCGCGTAGACTTGGCATTCTCTGCACACAACGATTTGTCACACGATAGTCATTGTCTTGCGAGCAACTTCAAAGCGAGGTATCTTTTTTTTAATGTGAGGCATTTCTTAGCGAACTGCAGCCATTTGAGCGTATCTATCTATCTATCTATCTATCTATCTATCTATCTATCTATCTATCTATCTATCTATCTATCTATCTATCTATCTATCTATCTATCTATCTATCTATCTATCTATCTATCTATCTATCTATCTATCTATCTATCTATCTATCTATCTATCTATCTATCTATCTATCTATCTATCTATCTATCTATCTATCTATCTATCTATCTATCTATCTATCTATCTATCTATCTATCTGTCTGTCTGTCTGTCTGTCTGTCTGTCTGTCTGTCTGTCTGTCTGTCTGTCTGTCTGTCTGTCTGTCTGTCTATCTATCTATCTATCTATCTATCTATCTATCTATCTATCTATCTATCTATCTATCTATCTATCTATCTATCTATCTATCTATCTATCTATCCATCCATCCATCCATCCATCCATCCATCCATCCATCCATCCATCCATCCATCCATCCATCCATCCATCCATCCATCCATCCATCCATCCATCCATCCATCCATCCATCCATCCATCCATCCATCTATCTATCTATCTATCTATCTATCTATCTATCTATCTATCTATCTATCTATCTATCTATCTATCTATCTATCTATCTATCTATCTATCTATCTATCTATCTATCTATCTATCTATCTATCTATCTATCTATCTATCTATCTATCTATCTATCTATCTATCTATCTATCTATCTATCTATCTATCTATCTATCTATCTATCTATCTATCTATCTACGAGTAGGTGTCCTTGTGATGGCCTTCTTAACTTGGGTAGGCCAAAATTAGTATGAAAGGTAAGAGCGTTTGACAACTATGTCTGGACACACAGTTCGCGGGATCGAATGCCGGCCGCGGCGGCTGCGTTTTCGATGGAGGCGAAGTTGTTTGAGGCCCATGCTCTTAGATATAGGTGCGCGTGAAATAACCCCAGGTGGCCGAAATATCCGGAGCCCTGCCCTACGGTGTCTCTCATAAACATATGGTGCATGGTTTCAAAACGTAAAACCGCAACAATAACAATTATTATTATTATTATTATTATTGTTAATAATAATAATAATATTATCATAAGTAAGGTCTGGCGTCGTGGGCAGGGGAGCGAGTGGGCCTTCCCCCACCAAAAGCATGGATTCCTAGAAACCAGAGCCCGAGAGTCGAGAGACAGCACGTGGCGATGCTCGTACAAGGACAAGAAAAGGCACTGACAGACAACACCCTCGCTCCCCGAAACTTTTCGGAGTAGAAAGCGGTGGTCCGTTCACCATCATTGTAACGATCAACGCGCCTGCCTCCGATCAGCGGGGTGCCAGCAAGCGGCGTCAAAGCGTCTTGTGTGTTGACACCAATACGTCTCGGACGGAGTGTCCGCGGAGCGCCTGTCGGGCCAGACGGTGTACCACGTCAAAGCATGGGCTCTCTAGCTAACCGGCCCCACTTGGTAACTTGACCTGGGGAGCTGAGCGATGCCACCATCGAATGTTTAATGGTTTTTTTAACGGGCTTTTCGGAACGTTGGTGTTGAGTGTTCCTTTTTCGTCTCTCTCTCTGACAAGTGGCAAAACATTGCAGGAGGAGAGGGAGGTGGAAAGAGGGAAGACCACTGGCATACGAACTTAGCGTAGATCCAATAAGCGGACGGAATGTTTTTGATTGGCGGTGAGGAGAACGGGGAGGGGCAACCTAGGGGTTAAAACCTGGCTCCTGACTCCTGACTGGGTTCTGGTCGCAGCAAAGAGTGCTATGCCCTATCGGCTCTGCCGAGATAACGGGCGACAATCCCAAGTGGTTGTTCACTTGTCTTGTAAAGTTGTATACATATTTATTGTATATGCTACGGAGCAGAAACCTGGAGACTTACAAAGAGGGTTCAGCTTAAATTGAGGACGACGCAGCGAGCAATGGAAAGAAAAATGGTAGGTGTAACCTTAAGAGACAAGAAGTGAGCAGAGTGGATTAGGGGACAAACGGGGGTTAAGGATATCATAGTTGAAATAAAGAAGAGAAAATGGACATGGGCCGTGCATGTAGCGCGTAGACAGGATAACCGCTGGTCACTAAGGGTGACTAACTGGATTCCCAGAGAAGGGAAGCGGGTTAGGGGGAGACAGAAGGCTAGGTGGGCAGATGAGATTAAGAAGTTTGCGGGTATAAATTGGCAGCAGCAAGCACAGAACCGGGTTAACTGGCGGAAGATGGGAGAGGCCTTTGTCCTGCAGTGGACGTAGTCAGGCTGATGATGATGATGATGATGATGATGATGATGATATTGTATATAAAATCCAGTTGTTGCGAGGTATGTTCAAAGGACCGGTTCCAATTCTCGACGAGCAGTGGTAGTAGAAACGATGCGAGACGAACACTGTCAACCTTGCACTCTCTTTCGAAGCAACGGCAGCTACGCTGCTGAGAGAGCTCCGCTCTATAGAACAGAGGGAGTGAGCAGAAGGTTGACTTTTATTATTATTATCATTATTATGATTTTTGTAAATATATCTGGCTGGTCATTACAAGATTAACGTCAAAATACTGTTGCGTACATCTTCAAACGCTATTCCAGACAGTGTTTGAAGATGTTCGCAACAGTATTTTGTCTGGAGTCCAGACACGTGTGACAATTGCCCGTATATCACGGGCCGCGGTATACGAGGATGGGAAACGTTGAGCACCTACAGGTGGCACAACTTTCCGCTGCACCAACGCACCGCGCCGCCCATGCCTCGAATGGCGACTTGCGGCCAATCCAGTTTCAACTGGCGTGCAACGAATCGTCGTCTTTCCGTCTGCTACGCCTGATTTGTACGCAAGTGCGTGTGCCCAAATGTGGCAGGTTTGATAAAACAAGTGGGCTTTCTGGAAGTTAACAATTCATAGTTTTTAGAGCCTCAAACAAAGAGAACGCATTTAAATTTTTGTATTCAATAATAGGGAGTTTTAGAATACCGTTTGCAAGCGCTGCGGGCGTTGCGGGAGTAGCGGGCGCCATATTAGTTTTAGAACAGCGTTTGCCTTGCTGCAATCCGCAACGCGCGATCGCAGCGACATCGTAGCCTCGAAACCAGCGCTTGCGGGCCACACGCGGGCCGCCTTCACTGCCCGTAGCCTCGAAACCAGCGCTTGCGGGCCACATGCGGGCCGCCATCGCCGCACGCAATTTCGGATTTTTTGCGTGTGGTCCGCGAACGCGAACACCGACTCGCGTTACGACGCATGCGCAGTGGCAGTGACCGCACCGCAAGGGCTCACGGTGTGCTATTCTAAAACACCCTAATGTTGTCGTTGTAATGGAAAGCATGTGTGCGACAGAGTCTTTTGAAAGGGTGATCCGTGCGGCTGGCCATTATTGCACGCTGGAAGCAATGCCGACATCATTGATAATTGTATGCATTTTTTGGTCGCTTTGCCTGCTTATCGCCGAGCAAACGATGACATTTGTGTGCAACATGTGTTAGGCAAACTCTTACGGTGCGCGCAAGTGAATTATACGGTTGCCAAACTGCACCTGTTGCATTAAGCAAGGTGTTGCAGCTCCGAGAAATCTGGGCAATAGTTCAACTTCGCTTTTAGACACTGCTCGGTCTTCATGGTTCAATGCTCTTCCATTCATTACTAAGTATAACAAAAATAAGGTTATAGCAAGTGAAATTATTGAACTGTTTATTTGTACAGACACATATATTGGAAGAAGTCTTAGTAGCTTTTATAGCATTGCCCCTGACGTATGAAGCGGAGAATAAAGGAATGAAATGCACTAAATGCTTTTGTGTAGGTGCCCTTCTGTATGCTGCATTAACACGTGAAGTTACCGTAGCCGTGAATGCGTAGGTGCTTTATTGCAAAAGTAACTATATGAATACATGCACCCAGTCAGTGACTTCTTGCTGATTACTTGATATGTGGGGTTTAGCGTCCCAAAACCACCATATGAATATGACAGACGATGTAGTGGAGGGCTCCGGAAATTTCGACCACCTGAGGTTTTTTAACGTGCACCCAATTCTCAGCACACGGGCCTACAGCGTTTCCGCCTCTACCGGAAATGCAGGCATCGCAGCCAAGATTCAATCCTGCAACCAGCCGGTCCGCAGCCGAGCACCTTAGCCACTGGACCACCGCGGCGGGACGCCTGTTGAAATGAGGTCCGCACACCTTTCCTCCTCACAATTTGACAAGCGATATTCTGTGGCATTTTCTTCAGCCATTTCATCTAAAAATACCCATTGATGCAATAGCGAGATGGTGCCTTCACGAGACAGTGGAAACGTATTTTCTCACTTCTTGAAAACACTGTCAAGATTCAGTAGGGCACATATATATCAAGCTTTACCATGAAAACGTTTTATGCTGTCGTCCACCATGGCTCCGCTGAGGTATTTCCGTCACGGATACTTCGTTGTAAAATATACACTCGCAGGTTTCAAAGAAAAACATGAGGAGAAAACGTTGTGCCACCTGGCGTCGACCCAGCAACTTCTCAGCTCGCCATGACGATAGTGATAGCGCGAGAACAAAACGACGACACAGAGACAAGAAAGACACGAAGGACACGAGCGCCCATGTCCTTCATGTCGTTCTTGTGTCTGTGCCGTCGTTTTGTTCTCGCGCTATAGTTATCGTCATGCCATACCATCTAGCCCAAGCTGTCACACTTCTCAGCTCACAGCGAGTGGCGCTAACCACTATGCCAACAAGAATACGTTGCGGAGGATGCTAACGGCAAGCCATTTATATACACCATACACTGGTGGCCCTCGGACCTCCGAAATGTCACCGCGCTTTTGGTATCAGTAACCAGATGGCACAAAGAGCTCGCGTTGGGCCAAAGAGCTTGCGTTGGGCGCAAACAGCTTGCGTTGGGGTGATGTGGCTTTGGTTGGGCACGCTCTCAAGGTC